GAAATTTTTGAAGAACGAGAAGGGCGAAATGGAGCGTTCCATCACATTACGCTTGGTGCGTCGAGGTTTCATGGACCTTGAAGCCTTCGACGTTGAGACCTTTTCGGGAACTGCGCGGCGGTCAAGCCAGAGACTACTCGTGAGCACGGCAGCGTGCAAGAAGCAATGGGTCATTGCTTCCCTCGACATCAACATGGCCTTCCTGAAAGGGTTGGCCTACCAGGAACTTGCTGAGGCAACTGGTGGAAAAGAACGTGTGGCGTGCTTTACTCCGCCGCCTGGATCGGATGCGGTGCTTCGAACTCTCCCAGGATTCGAACACTACGACGAGTCCGCGCACTGCTTGCAGTGCCGTAGCCCTGGCACTGGCACCAAGGACGCACCTCGAGCCTTTCCCACTAAAGCTCATAAGGGCCACGAGAGGCTTCGGTTTCAGACCCGCGTCATACGACGAGGAGTTCGAGACGAGCAGCGACCTGCCCACGGCCAGACATGTCGATGACATCAATCTGCCCGGCACAGAGGACACCATTGACACGCGCGTCACGTGCGTAGAAGACACCTTTGGCAAGTGTAAACTCAACAAGCACACATGCACCAATTGCGCTGTGAGCTATACCAAGGATGAGGACGGCAGTGTTACTTTGGACCAAGACGAATACATCAAACAGCTCCGTCCTCTACAACATCCTGAACGTACCGGCGCCGACGCTGACGCCCGAGCATCCAATATGGTTGCAGGCATGTTCGTCAGCCCTAGAGGCGCATTGGCGTATGCATTAATCATCCAGGTGTGGTTGATGGTGTACGTTGTCTCTCTACAACGTGTCCTAGAACCGACCAACATACAAGTGCGACGACTTAACGCGATCACCAGGAAACAGCAGGCCTGACCTAAGAAGATCGCCTACCAGGCGATGACCTCCACGGGCGAGTTTGACCTGCACAGCGACTCAGGTTGCCGACGCCTGAGTGGAGATGCCGACGACGAAGTCAAAGGTTATGTTATTCGCGGGGCAAACATGCTGTGGCGTGGAAGCACGCCATCCGGCAAGCCCGCCCTTCACTTGACCGATGCGTACTGCAAGTCTCACCACTTGCAGGTCCGCTCGAGCTTTTCAGCGGAGACACTAGTAACATCCCACAACCTGGAGGACTGTCATCCCACGATCGTGACTCTGCACGAGCTCCACGCAGGGCCGCTAACTCCCACTCAGTGGAAAGACATACTTGAGCTGGGTGGACTGCGCGTCAAGGTTACTTTGACCATAGGTGCTGAGTCTGGTTGAAAGTTCTTGTCTAGCAGAGACCTGAACATGCCGACTGAGTGCACCCTTTTAGGACACATCAGCTGGATACGACAGATGATGGAGCGAGAAGTCGCGCACAGCATTCAGTGGTGTGACGCACGCGATACGACCGCTGACGGTCACACCAAGAGGGGCATCGACAGAGAAATGCTCCTACAGGTCATGGGAGGTACACAGCATCTCCAACATGACTTACAGCGTCATGCTCCCTGTCGGGCTGGCCAGACATCTCGTTCTGTAGCCGCCAGAGGAGTACTCGCATGCACAGTGTAGCGCAGGCAAGGCAACTTGCGCGCGGGCCCACCTTCCTTGCGGCCCCGCCTTCTTGCTGCCCTTTTGTAAATCGTAGCTGCTGTACCTGCTGTATAGAGGCGGAGGGTTCAGGCTTCGTCTCCCTCCCCCCCGACTCGAGTGAGGCGAGTGTTGCATGTGAGTGGGAACGAGCGTGCATCCGCGGCTGCTTGGCCCAAAGCGGCCGGCCGCCCAGGTCTGACTACAGCTCAGCGCGAGGTGTACTTTGTGCCATCGATACCAAAACTGCTTGAGATGGCTCGCCCCCTACTACTGGGACTATCGTTACTACGGCACAACAAAGCGGGAGCTGGGCGTCGCCGAAGGCGAAGCTGATGGTTGGGCCTCCCAACCCTTTTCAAATTGTGGGTCCCTCTTTGGGCGGTTGAGCCGTCTTGGGGGCCTCCAGGGCTGTTTTGGGGCCCTCTTTGGCAGTATTGCGGGCCTTTCGGGTGGCCTCTTGGGCTGGTTTATTGGCTCGTCTTGGAGCGCCAGATGCTCGAAAAGGCAAGAACGCTAACATTATTGAACAACCCAACGAGAATCAAGGATGTGTGGCCTCTTGAGGTTCTCTTGGAAGCCTTTCGGGGAGTGCAGGGAGCCTGTTGGCCGTCCTGGGGCCATCTTGGCCATATTGGAGGCGTCCCAGGATCGTTTTGGAAGATGTTTTGGCCGTGGCACTGGCCGTGCCTGGCCGCGGACAGAGGAGGCATGAGGTTTCAGAGGTCAGAGGTCGGAGGTTGATCGTCGTCGTCAGGGTCAGCGTCAGCGTCGTCATTATCATCGTCGTCGTGTTCGCCGTCGGCGTCGGCGTCGTGGTCGTCGTCGTTGTCGCCCTCGTCGTTCGCATCGTGTTCGTCGTTGGCGTTGTTGTTGTTGTTGAACATTATTATTTCTAGAGAATAATTATTGTTGGGACCCCTGGTGCACGACCCCCCCGCCGCGCCTAGGCCGCAGCCTCATTTTCATCATTTTCGCGAGGAAGTCTCAGGCAAAACGGGGGAGTCCGGATCCGGTTGTGTTGTTACGATCGGTTTTCCCTTGCAAAAAAATAAGCTAAAGTGGACATTTCTTGTTCTAACATAACCAAACTTCAAGAATCCCTTGCAAAAAATAAGGTAAAGTGGACATTCGCGCGCGCAAGACGAAATCCTTCCAAAACCTTAGTTTTCGTAGCGATTTTAACATAAAAACATCAAAAAACCAATGGTTTTTCAAAAAAAATGTCAAAATTTCATCCCGCGCGCTCTTGCGGATTCGTAGGAAACCCAACACTTTTTTAATCATTTCTGTCAAACGGGCTTTTGCGAGCAACTTTTTCGAACTTCTGCAACAACGGTTGCGCACCTGCCAGGGCCATCATCCCTGTCAAATAATACCATGCGGGACACATTCGTTTTTTCTTCGCGCGCGCACGCCGTCGTCGTCGGCCGCGGGGCCCTGAATAGTAGCCACGGTCGTCCGCATGCCACGAAGTGAAGTGTCCGAACGTCATAGGGCGGGAAGCTGGGTGTGGGTGGTGGCGAAGAGTCGTTTGGAAATTTGGTAGAGCTTGAACCGGCCCCCCCACAAAGTGGGGGTATTGCCCGCCTCCTATGAAAACCCTGGCACTGGTGAGAACGGTGTGTCCCCACGTGCTAGTAATTGTTGTTGTTGTTGTTGTTGTTGTTGTTGTTGTTGTAGTTGAACTCTCATTCTTGAGGAATAATTATTGTTGATCCCCCCACCGGCGCACATTGTTTTTTTTTCAATTGAAGTGCCCCCCCGGGGCTCGCACCTTGTTTTTTGTCGAGGAAAGTCTTCCTGCTCAAATTAGCCCCCTGGCCCCCGGGTTACAACAGCAACGGGTCCCGCTTGAGATTCCTTCACAATTTAGCCAGCACCCCCGCTCCCGCCCGAGACTTCGTCGCATTTGATTCAAGAATCGCGTTCTCGCTTGGGACTTCCTTACGATTTATTCAGGAATCGTTTTTTCTGCGCTTTGGAATCGCGCTCTCGCTGGAGTCTCGTTTGCAATTTACTCAAGAATAACGCCCTTGCGTTGACATTTTTTGCAATTCACTCCAGCGCCGCGCTCCCGACACCCAGGCACCCAGGAGTCGCGCTCACCCCGTTGTAGCCCTTCGTGGCCCCCTCGCTTTGTTTCGTGGCCCCGTTGCAGCCCTTCGTGGCCCCTCGCTTTGTTTCGTGGCCCCGTTGCAGCCCTTCGTGGCCTCCTCGTTGCCCTTCGTGGCCCCGTTGCAGCCCTTCGTGGCCCCCTCGCTTTGTTTCGTGGCCCCGTTGCAGCCCTTTGTCGCCCCGTTGCAGCCCTTCGTGGCCCCCTCGCTGCTCTTCGCGGCCCCGTTGCAGCCCTTCGTGGCCCCCTCGCTTTGTTTCGTGGCCCCATATATGTCTGCCCTTCGTGGCCCCCGCTCGTTCGCGCCCGTGGTGGCCCCATATGCATGCCCTTCGTGGCCCCGCTGTCGCCCTTCGTGGCCCTCGCTGCCCTTCGTGTCCCCGTTGCTGCCCACATCGGCCCCGTCCTTACCCTCCGCGGCCCAACATACGTATGCCCTTCGTGGCCCCCGCTCGGTCGCGCCCGTTGTGGCCCCATGTGCATGCCCTTCGTGGCCCCGCTGTCGCCGATTGTGGCCCCCTCATTGTCCTACGTGGCCCAGGTGCTACCCTCAGTGGCCCCGTTCTGTGGCCCAGCATTATCTGCCCTTCGTGGCCCACGCTCGTTCGCGCTCTTCGTGGCCCCATACGCATTCCCTTCGTGTCCCCGCTGTCGCCCTTCGTGGCCTCCTTCGTGTCCTTCGTGGCTCTGCTGTCGTTCTCTCTTGCTCTCGCTTTCGCTCGTCGTCGCCGTCGCCGTCGCCGTCGTTGCCGTCGTCGTCAACGTCGTCGTCGTCGTCGTCGTCGTGGTCGGTCCCCTGGGGTCGGGTCGACGGTCCGCGGCCGCCCCGCCGATCAGCGCTGCCGCTGGCCAGGCCGACGGTCCGCGGCCGCCCCGCCGCTTGCCAGGGCCCGGCCTGCGGGGAAGAAAGATATACCCCCCAAAAGGGGTTCGATCGAAGACGAAAAGGGCGGGTATCGAGGGTTTGGGAAATTCGCGTTATTCGACACTCGAGCACATAAGGGCGAACAGTCTTAAAATGATTGTTGTTGTTGTTGCTGCTGCTGCTGTCGTCGTTTGCTGGTGTGCAAATTGAGGGGGATGGGATGGAAGGGGGCGCTCTCGCCTGAAGGCAGATGGGGGCACTTGTTCCGGAGGATGAGGAGGAGGGGTGGTGGTGGTGGTGTATTCTCGAGTGGAGGGGGAAGGGCCCCGATTCCAGCGAAGTGGGAAGGCGGGTGTTGCGACGCGCGGCGCCCGTGAAGAGGCGCTTGCGTTTCTTCCTTGTTGCCCTTGCCGCCCAGGTGTGGTACCCCATGACAGTCTGCACGCAAAGCCGTGAGATGACGAAGATTGCCAAGAAGTACTTGACAGAAACAGGCTGCGATGAGAGCTTGGTGGGGCTGCTGACTTCGCTCTCGGTCATCGACTTTGGCTGCCGCGGGGTCTCCTCCATGGAGAGCGCCGGCCTTGGTGGTGCCGCCCATCTGGCGAGCATGGGCCACGTCGACTCTGAGCCTCTTGCTATCGCTTCATGTCGGCCTCCCTCCATCTCTTCCTCGCCTCCCGTTCCATCTCCCTGCTGTCCCTACTCTCCCCCTTGCTCCCCTCTTTATCTCTCTCTCTCTCTCTCGCGTCTCTGCTCCACCCACGCCATCTGCTTCCACTTCTTCGTGCGCGACCTGCCTGCACTGGCGACGGATCTAGACAGTACCGTGTTTGCCCGCCACAGATATTCAAATGGTTCGTATTCCAACGCCGTATGGCTATAGATTTACCTCCAACCCCAATCCTGGTTCCAAACTCCGACTCCGACCCGACCATGGCATTCCTTGTAATCATGGCCCCGCCAAATTTGAATGACATGTTTCACCAGGTACGGGAATCTTCGCAGCAACCAACTTGAGACACCCGACTTGCATCATTTCGCGGGGATTTGTTGATACCGTGATTGTTTCACCCATTGCGTCTCCTTCTGATCCAGCCCCAAGCGAGGACAGCAACGATAGGAACAGACATGTGAGATCTTAGCGAGTAACGGCCCCACCCACCCCAGCATCACCACCACACATCTCAAGAAGAGCATCGTAGAGGAGCATCATCACCACCACATCTCAAGAAGAGCATCATCACCACCACCCCCATCTCACCACCACACATCACCACCAGCATCACCACCACACACACCAGCCCGTAGAGGAGGGACGGGGAGGCGCTGGCCGAGTCCCTGAGATTCAGGATGTTACGTAGTCTTGACGCTTCGCGTATGCGTTTCAGCGGCCGTAGCCTTGGCTCCAGGAGTCTGGCTCGAGCGGCGCCCGCCTCTGGCCGCCTGGTTTGACCCAGCCTTGGCACTCGATCGAGGCGCAGGCCATGGGGTGCTGCATCTCGACGTCGTCGTCGGCAGGCGATGCCAGCCCCGCGAGCGCCATCTCCAGCGCGGCCCTGGCGCAAGAGGAGCTGAGGAGAGCGGCCGACGCCCTGAGCCCAGAAGAGAGGCCACCACCAGCACAGCACTGGAATTTCCTCGGCGGGGAGGAGTTGGTGCCGCTGCTCGAGCACACCACGCTCGTGGACGCGCACTTCCTCGTGGCCCTGGCCGATGCGGGCGGCGTCGTGCCGCGGTGGCAGGAGCTCCCCGAGGCTGCGAAGATCGGTCCGGCGAACGCCTGGCAGCTGCGCTGCGGCGCAACTTGTACTCGCATCGACAACGATGTTATCCGTACCTCTGCATTTCTCCCCATCCTCGTCCTGAGCTACCCGTGGTTTGATCGGACTCACCCGGACCGCCTCGGGGAAACCTTGCAGCGGGTCGCCCCCGTGCTGCGCGCAATGCTAAGCCACACGAAGGAGCTAGCTCAGCTTGAACTGGGATGTCTCCAACACGACCGTGGGCTCAGCTCATACGCGACCGTGGGCGTCCTCTGGGATTTCTTGTCCTTGCCGCAGAAGCCGCACAGGGACGACTCGGAGACGCAGCGGTTCAAGGCGGGCCTGAAGGCCATCGACCGGTGGTACGCCCACCCGCACACCACCGTGCTGCTCGTGACCACGCCGGTGCCCAATGGAGACGGCAAGTACGAGAACAGGCGGCCTTACCAGAACCGTGGTTGGTGCAAGTTCGAGCGCTCGATCAGCATGTTGACGAAGCATAGAGAATGCCTCCTGGACCTGGGCAAGGTCCCAGACGGATGGGTCTGGGGCAGGTTCAGGGACTCGGAGGCTTTGCGTGTTCTGAGCGCGTCGCGCAGGCCGCCGTTGTCGCCGGATGCGTTCGCCAAGCAGGTGCGCGCGGGCGTGCAGGAAGGCACCGTCGCCTTCACGGCTGGGGCTGTCGACGAGGAGTTCGTGATCGAGCAGTATCGCAAAGGGTTTATCCAGGCCTACAACAGTTGGGGCGACACCTACAACAGTCTGGGCGTAGAACAGGGCGACAAGGTCAATTTGACGAATCTGGGTTGGGGCAGCGATGACGCGTTTGTGCTGGCCGACGCGATCAAGTACGCAGGGATGCACTGCAGCCCCAAAAACACGGTGTTCTTGGACCTCCGGGGTAACAATTTCGATTTCCGTGCGCAAGATGAATTGTACCGATCGATGGTATGGGATGCGAAGTGCTATAAGCGTTATGCGGTGACCGTGTTGTGCTGACCTTCTTGTTGGGCTCCCTGGCGCATGCGCTTGGCCGTAGCAGAGCACACGGATGGGGCACCGAGAGGTCTTTGTTATTGCTCCCGTGCAGGCCCCTGTACATGCACGGGTTCGCGCTGCAACGTGTAGCTTCTGTGCGTTGTAGCGCGGCTGCTCGCTGAGCCCCCTGTGTTCCGCCGTGGCCCGACCATATCACGACTGTGTGATTGGCGCCACGCCCTTGCCGAGCCAGGGCGCGGCTTGCGGTGAGGCGTAGACTATTGTTATTTAAAGGCTGCCGCCTCTGCCGCCGACCCCAAATCAGGCCTCGTGTTTTCTTTGGTTTCAGGTGGTCCCCGCGAGCTTTCCTGCAACAGGGGGGTAGTGTTCATATGGAGTATGGGTAGGCCAGGGCAATGCGCGCGTGTGTTTCGGCGTGTTTTTTCCTCTCTTTTGTCTCGCTCTCTTCCTCTCTCCTTTGTGTCTTCTGCGGTCGTCTTCGAATCTTTTGTGGGAGTTTTGGGTCCATCTGGGGCGTCTTGAGTCAATAATTGCTTCTCTCGGGGCCGTTTTGGCCCGACGTGGGCGCTGTCTTGGGGTCGTCGTTGTGGCCCCTTTTGGGGCTATCTAGGTTCACGAGGGCAGCCCTGAGAGATTCGAGAATTCAGAGTCTCGGTCACCCAGAGAGCGGGAAAGCGAAAAACATTTAAACATCCAATGGGAATCAATGATTTTGGACTGCTGGGGCGGCGGGGTGCCGGGGCGCGGTGGGGGGTCCCGGCGAGGTTTTTGCAGAGTCGGAGCGCCCAAAAACAAAGCTCCAAGAGCTTGGGGAGCGGTCTTGGGGGTCTCTTTGGCGGTCGTGGAGCGTCGGAGAGCGGGAAAGCGAAGAACATTGAAAAAATCAATGGCAATGACTGATTCTGGCCTGTTGGAACGGCGGGGTGCCGGGGCGCGGTGGGGGGTCCCGGCGAGGTTTTTGCAGAGTCGGGGAACCCAAAAACAGAGCTCCAGAGGCTTGGGGAGCGGTCTTCGGGGCCTCTTGGGCGGTCGTGGAGCGTCGGAAAGCTGGAAAGCGAAAAACATTGAAAAAATCAATGGGAATCAACGATTTGGGCCTGTTGGGACAGCGGGGTGCCGGAGCGCGGTGGGAGGTCCCGGCGAGGTTTTTGCAGAGTCGGGGGGCCCAAGAACAGAGCTCCAGAGGCTTGGGGAGCGGTCTTCGGGGCCTCTTGGGCGGTCGTGGAGCGTCGGAAAGCTGGAAAGCGAAGAACATTGAAAAATCAATGGGAATGAAATATTTTTGCCTGTTGGGGCGGCGGGGTGCCGGGGCGCGGTGGGGGGTCCCGGCGAGGTTTTTGCAGAGTCGGGGAACCCAGAAACAGAGCTCCAGAGGCTTGGGGAGCGGTCTTCAGGGCCTCTTGGGCGGTCCGCGGTCGTGGAGCGTCGGAAAGCTGGAAAATGAAAAACATTGAAAAAAACAATGGGGATCCACGATTTTTGCCTGTTGGGGCGGCGGGGTGCCGGGGCGCGGTGGGGGGTCCCGGCGTGGTTTTTGCAGAGTGGGGGAACCCAAAAACAGAGCTCCAGAGGCTTGGGGAGCGGTCTTCGGGGCCTCTTGGGCGGTCGTGGAGCGTCGGAAAGCTGGAAAGCGAAGAACATTGAACAAATCAATGGGAATGAAATATTTTTGCCTGTTGGGGCGGCGGGGTGCCGGGGGCGCGGTGGGGGGTCCCGGCGAGGTTTTTGCAGAATCGGGGAACCCAAAAACAGAGCTCCAGAGGCTTGGGGAGCGGTCTTCAGGGCCTCTTGGGCGGTCGTGGAGCGTCGGAAAGCTGGAAAATGAAAAACATTGAAAAAATCAATGGGGATCAACAGTTTTGGCGTGTTGGGGCGGCGGGGTGCCGGGGCGCGGTGGGGGGTCCCGGCGAGGTTTTTGCAGAGTGGGGGAACCCAAAAACAGCTCCAGAGGCTTGGGGAGCGGTCTTGGGGGCCTCTTGGGCGGTCGTGGAGCGTTGGAGAGCGGGAAAGGGAAAAACATTGAACAAATCAATGGGAATCAACGATTTGGGCCTGTTGGGGCGGCGGGGTGCCGGGGCGCGGTGGGGGGTCCCGGCGAGGTTTTTGCAGAGTCGGGGGGCTCAAAAACAGAGCTCCAGAGGCTTGGGGAGCGGTCTTCGGGGCCTCTTGGGCGGTCGTGGAGCGTCGGAAAGCTGGAAAGTCAAAAACATTGAAAAAATCAATGGGGATCAACGATTTTGGCCTGTTGGGGCGGCGGGGTGCCGGGGCGCGGTGGGGGGTCCCGGCGAGGTTTTTGCAGAGACGGAGCGCCCAAAAACAGAGCTCCAAGAGCTTGGAGAGCGGTCTTGGGGGTCTCTTTGGCGGTCGTGGAGCGTCGGAGAGCGGGAAAGCGAAGAACATTGAAACAATCAATGGGAATGAATGGTTTTGGCCTGTTGGAACGGCGGGGCGCCGGGGCGCGGTGGGGGGCCCCGGCGAGGTTTTTGCAGAGTCGGGGAACCCAAAAACAGAGCTCCAGAGGCTTGGGGAGCGGTCTTCGGGGCCCATGGGCGGTCGTGGAGCGTCGGAAAGCTGGAAAGCGAAAAACATTTTTTTAAAAATGGGAATCAACGATTTGGGCCTGTTGGGACAGCGGGGTGCCGGAGCGCGGTGGGAGGTCCCGGCGAGGTTTTTGCAGAGTCGGGGGGCCCAAAAACAGAGCTCCAGAGGCTTGGGGAGCGGTCTTCGTGGCCTCGTGGGCGGTCGTGGAGCGTCGGAAAGCTGGAAAGCGAAGAACATTGAAAAATCAATGGGAATGAAATATTTTTGCCTGTTGGGGCGGCGGGGTGCCGGGGCGCGGTGGGGGGTCCCGGCGAGGTTTTTGCAGAGTCGGGGAACCCAGAAACAGAGCTCCAGAGGCTTGGGGAGCGGTCTTCAGGGCCTCTTGGGCGGTCGTGGAGCGTCGGAAAGCTGGAAAATGAAAAACATTGAAAAAAACAATGGGGATCCACGATTTTTGCCTGTTGGGGCGGCGGGGTGCCGGGGCGCGGTGGGGGGTCCCGGCGTGGTTTTTGCAGAGTTTTTGGGGAGCGGTCTTGGGGGCCTCTTGGGCGGTCGTGGGGGGGCAATGGGAATCAGGCCTGTTGGGGCGGCGGGGTGCCGGGGCGCGGTGGGGGGTCCCGGCGAGGTTTTTGCAGAGTCGGGGGGCTCAAAAACAGAGCTCCAGAGGCTTGGGGAGCGGTCTTCGGGGCCTCTTGGGCGGTCGTGGAGCGTCGGAAAGCTGGAAAGTGAAAAACATTGAAAAAATCAATGGGGATCAACAGTTTGGGCCTGTTGGGGCGGCGGGGTGCCGGGGCGCGGCGGGGGGTCCCGGCGAGGTTTTTGCAGAGTCGGAGCGCCCAAAAACAGAGCTCCAAGAGCTTGGAGAGCGGTCTTGGGGGTCTCTTTGGCGGTCGTGGAGCGTCGGAGAGCGGGAAAGCGAAGAACATTGAACAAATCAATGGGAATGAATGATTTTGGCTTGTTGGAACGGCGGGGTGCCGGGGCGCGGTGGGGGGCCCCGGCGAGGTTTTCGCAGAGTCGGGGAACCCAAAAACAGAGTTCCACAGGCTTGGGGAGCGGTCTTCGGGGCCCATGGGCGGTCGTGGAGCGTCGGGAAGCTGGAAAGCGAAAAACATTGAAAAAGTCAATGGGAATGAACGATTTTGGCCTGTTCGGGCGGCGAGGTGCCGGGGCGCGGTGAGGGGTCCCGGCAAGGTTTTTGCAGAGTCGGGGGGCCCAAACACAGAGCCCCAGAAGCTTCGGGAGCGGTCTTGGGAGCTTCTTGGGTGCTCGTGGAGCGTCGGAAAGCTGGAAAATGAAAAACATTGAAAAATCAATGGGGATCAACGAGTTTGGCGTGTTCGGGCGGCGGGGTGCCGGGGCGCGGCGGGGGGTCCCGGCGAGGTTTTTGCAGAGTGGGGGGGCTCAAAAAAAGAGCTCCAGAGGCTTGGAGAGCGGTCTTGGGGGCCTCTTGGGCGGTCGTGGAGCGTTGGAGAGCGGGAAAGGGAAAAACATTGAAAAAATCAATGGGCATCAACGATTTGGGCCTGTTGGGGCGGCGGGGTGCCGGGGCGCGGTGGGGGGCCCCGGCGAGGTTTTTGCAGAGTGGGGGGGCTCAAAAACAGAGCTCCAGAGGCTTGGGGAGCGGTCTTCGGGGCCTCTTGGGCGGTCGTGGAGCGTCGGAAAGCTGGAAAGTGAAAAACATTGAAAAAATCAATGGGGATCAACGATTTTGGCCTGTTGGGGCGGCGGGATGCCGGGGCGCGGCGGGGGGCCCCGGCGAGGTTTTTGCAGAGTCGGAGCGCCCAAAAACAGAGCTCCAAGAGCTTGGAGAGCGGTCTTGGGGGTCTCTTTGGCGGTCGTGGAGCGTCGGGGAGCGGGAAAGCGAAGAACATTGAACAAATCAATGGGAATGAATGATTTTGGCTTGTTGGAACGGCGGGGTGCCGGGGCGCGGTGGGGGGTCCCGGCGAGGTTTTTGCAGAGTCGGGGAACCCAAAAACAGAGCTCCAGAGGCTTGGGGAGCGGTCTTCGGGGCCCATGGGCGGTCGTGGAGCGTCGGAAAGCTGGAAAGCGAAAAACATTGAAAAAATCAATGGGCATCAACGGTTTTGGCCTGTTCGGGCGGCGAGGTGCCGGGGCGCGGTGAGGGGTCCCGGCAAGGTTTTTGCAGAGTCGGGGGGCCCAAACACAGAGCCCCAGAGGCTTCGGGAGCGGTCTTGGGAGCTTCTTGGGCGGTCGTGGAGCGTCGGAAAGCTGGAAAATGAAAAACATTGAAAAAATCAATGGGGATCAACGAGTTTGGCGCGTTGGGGCGGCGGGGTGCCGGGGCGCGGTGGGGGGTCCCGGCGAGGTTTTTGCAGAGTGGGGGGGCTCAAAAACAGAGCTCCAGAGGCTTGGGGAGCGGTCTTCGGGGCCTCTTGGGCGGTCGTGGAGCGTCGGAGAGCGGGAAAGCGAAAAACATGAAACACAAATCAATGGGAATCAACGGTTTTGGCTTGCGGCTTGCGGTGAGGCGTAGACTATTGTTATCATTGCCGCCGTGTTTTTTACGACGATTTGCACAACATTCATTTGCGGTTCGCCTCCCTGCGTGGGTAGGGAGTAAGATGACGAACGGACAACGCGCACCCATACCCATGGGGGGTTGTTGGGAGGAGGACTGGCTATGGGTATGGGCGCGGGTTGTTGGACCCTGGGTAACGCTCCCGTTCGAGCGGAGACCCCCATCCGACAACACGTACCCATAGCCCTCTCCGACCCCCTTATGGGCATGCGTGTGTGTTGTTGGTTCGTCATAAGAGGCATCTTGGGCCCGAGCGCTCCATGCCGAGGTCGCCCCATCTCACGGGCCTCGCTCCCTCGGGCCAGTCTCCCGTGCCCAAGGGGGCGCCCGACGCATCGCTGGGCGGGCGCAGCCTCCTTCCTGCCGCGGCCTGCCATATCCAGCGCTGCCCGTGGCGCAGCCCCTGGCGAGGCCCAGCCCCGGCCCACGGCAGGCGGTGCGGGCTTCAGTCTAATGGGGGATCAGCCGGATGGCGTTGCGGGGGGCGGGGGCCGCTCAGTGCAGGGCACGGGGGCCCAGCCGCTGGCTTCGGTCGACCCCCCCGTATCGGGCCGGGCGAAAGGGGGGATTGGGCAAGGGGGGGGTGCGAAATTTGCTGCATGCAGCTGGTTTCGGCCTCACCAAGGGCCCCTGCCTCGATGCGTCGCCGCCTCCGGCGCCGGGAGGCGCCGGGAAAATCAGCTACATGAGCTGATTCTCGAACCCCCGGTGCTATCCCCCCCTTTTCGCCCGACCCGGACATAGACCCCAATCAGGCTCAGACCCCCCCTAAACAACAGCCCCCTCCCCCTCGGGGCAGTGCAGGAGCCGGCGCCAGCTTCGACCGTGACGGCTTGCTGTTCAGCGGGGGACAGCGACAATGCAGAGGGGGATGGAACGAGACGACAGACCCCCAGGCAGGTCCTCGATTCCCCCCAGTCGACGCCTGCTGAGGAAAACGAGGGCGGCAGACCTGATGAGAACAACAGAGTCAGGGAAACGGAGGTTCAGAGTCGGGAGGGTCTTGACTCATCTCTCCCCATCCCCACTCCAGACCCCATCTCGACCCCTGTCTCGCCCACGCCTCCTTCCTCCCCTCGCGCAGGGGTCGCTCAGTGCCCCCCGCCTCCAGCAGTAGGGGCCGTCCAACTCCCTGAGGCTGACAATGGCGGCCCAGGGGGTCTCCGAGAGATCTCAGATGTAGTGGGCCCCATGGAGTGCCAAGAGGAGACGCCGCAGCCCGTGGCAGCGGAGGATGTCGCCCACCTCCCCCAGAGAGCACGCGTCTGTATCTCCTCTGACCGTGGCTAGCCACACCCCCGAGGTGCAACCTGGCAGCGGAGACGGAGGCAACCGCCAACGAACAGTGATTCCAGCGGCGGTCAGCTGCTACCCCCACTCGAATGAAAAGGTGAATTCTGCGGCGATCAGCTGCGCCCCCCTCGACCATGATAGAGCGTACTCTGCGGCGGTCAGCTGCGCCCCCTTTTTCAACGCAGCTCAGGAACAGGGTGTGCGACCACCTGGGGTGGGCACTCCGAGGGGCCTCGAGGCCTACGAGGGCACCCACCTCAGGAGCACGGTCGAGCAGGGCCTCATCAGTTCAGGCGAGGCGCTATCCGCTCTCCCCCCTCTCCCACCGCGCCCCCCTCCTGACTCACTTCCCATCCCCCTCCTGGCAGGTGCAGGCGCCGTGGGCGCGCCCAGCGAGGATCACGCCATCTGTCCCGCGCCCCCCCTTCATCCGACTGGGCCTGAAGACCCGCGGCAGCCCCGAGAAGAAGTCGATTGGGGGTGGCTTATCGAGGCTCGCGAGCCCAGCGGAAGCACCCCCGATAGCGCAGTGCGCAGCGCCTGTGGAGACAACGGTGCGATCGAGGCCAGATCGCCTGATCGCCCCTCCTCCAGGTCTTACCTCGCCTCCGCCGCCAGGCTCAAGCCAGCGCAGTCAGGAGGGGCAGTCGGGCGACTCGAGGCACGGGCGGCGCCGCCCGTGGAGCTCAGACGGGGAGCGTTCGCCAGCTAGGCCGGAGCCCCTCAACTGCCGCTACGGCCCAGGTGCCAGCAGGCTCCAATACCACCCGCGGCGATGCGGGAGCCGCGACTTGGATGCGCCCTTCCTGGCCCCAAGGGTCGCCGACCCGAGGGGCGCCAAGCGAGGAGGCACTCTAGCAGCACTCGTGGCCCACCACGAACCTCGGGCGGGCCCATGGAGAGACCTACCCAGGCGAGCGGTACGCGAACAAACGGTGAGACAGGGCATTGAAAATCTGGTAAGCGCGCGTTGGCTCCGCCATCCCCCTTGAGCGTGACAGAACCACACCTAGCTGGGGGTGCCAGAGTCCTCTCGGGGCCTCACCTGTTCGGAGGGCCCAGCTCGAGCAAGGAACCTCCCGCCGGCGCTGCGCTAGCGGCCCGGCGCTGGCCCAGCTCGACCTCTCCTGGCTCGCATGGTCCATCGCAGGCTCCGACTACGATGCGAGGCTGGGAGGTGTGGGCCCAGACCCAGTACAGGTGCTGGCCTTCCGTCATGCGAGCCTTACCACGGACCCTGTTATCGAGACGGGGAGACTGGACTGCGGCAACCCAACCGACGCAGAGCTATCAGCGGCCCATTTGGAATACGACGACCTCCACTACGCGGCCCTGTGCACGGACTTCGGGGTAAGAGACCCGTAGGACGGCCTCTTCCCAGCTTTTCTGCTCGGGCTCTCAAGAGGGAGGCGAGACGCTGCCCCTGGCCCGAGAGACACTGGAGTGGACCTCGAGCACAGTTGCATCATATACCGCTACCTCCTCCACGAACACCGCCGGACACGCGCCCACTTCCCAGACCATAGAGGGGGTCAGGAATTGGGCGTTTCACAGAGGACAGTGGGGCGAGGCGGGCGATGGCGCCATGTCCACAGGACAGCACGGTACAGGACCTGACGGCTGGGCGGCCCCGGCCATTCCAGGCGCAGGCCCACGCCCCCCAGGCATCCCAGGAGTCATACTCGAGGGCAATGACACACCAGAGGGACCATGGCCCCTAAACAACACGTCCCACATGATAGAGCTCGGGGGCTTCTTTCACCCATCCACCAGATGCGGGCACTGTGGCTGGTGGCTCGTGCGAGACCCCCAAGGCCCCATGTGCATCGTCTGCCACGCGTTAGCCTCGCCATGGTGTCTAGAGGTGGGCGGATTCCTCTCCGAAGGCGCGGTAGCTCCAGGACACCCCCTCGACACTCTGGGTACGCAACTCACCTACCAGCTCGTCAGGGTAGGAGCAAGATACGCCCCCATAGCCAGCCACATTTGCTCCCCAGACCACCTACCGGAGACCGCCAGTTACTCCTCTACTAGCGGCACGGCGGCAAAAGACGGACAACCCAAGCGAGTCATGGCACCCGACTGCAGATAGGGAGGACCCAAGCCTGGGGGAGGAACCAATGCTCAGAACCACAGTTTGCGCCCTCGCCCGGCTCTGCTGCGCCCCCCAGGGATGGGCGCTAGAGGCCGCGGCGCAGATCCGCGACCGCATCAGGGATGCCCCCTTCCAGTCGTTCTCTGCGGGACTGGGTGCCCAGAAGCCTCGCCCAACTCCCTCGCATAGCGGCGCCGACCAGGTCTCTCGATCCAGCAAGCGCAAGGACTAACGAGGAAGGCCTATGGACGAGATCACGGCTGAGCCTCGACAACATCTCAACAGAAGACGCCAATTGGCTTCGGGGCGAGATAGGAGGAAGCTTCCTCGACCAGGCACTAGGGTTAGTCGAAATCGCCGCCGACGAGCAGCCGCCCAAGGCGCAGGGAGTTGACGCAGCAGCAACGGAAGTAGCCTGCGCTGCCCTCATTGCCAACGCCAGGCGGGACGGGGGACTCATCGCGGAACACCTCGCCCCCGACAGCCCCTGCGGAGCAGCGATGCGCCAGGCCATAACGCTTCGCACTAGGTTCCACGGGAGGGGCGCCCCCGTTCCCGATCGAGCCAACCAACGAGCGGGGACTGAGGGAGGCACCGACAACCAAGCCATCGAGGCGCGCTGGCCGAACCTGGGCGCCCGACTGCCTCCAGAAAGGAGGAACGGCGCCCGCCGTCTACTGCAGGAAGTATTGGACATTCGCGCCCAGGGCGCGGATGACAGCGAACCTAACAACATGACTTGGAGCAGAATCTTCGCCCCATTCATTTGGGGGTCATCCACATTTGGAGGAAGAAACGCCCTGCGGGAAGTCTTCGGAGCCGCCGGAATCTTTACCCACATTGTGGCTCACGCAGCTCGACGCTGAAACGCAGTGGGTATCTCTTCCCTGCAGGATTGTCAACGCCGCCTCATCGGGGGCGCCGCAATTATTTCGCACCTGACCGGGAGAGAAGTTGAAGCACCCCTACCCAGAGGGTACATGCACCCAGAGCTCCAAGAGCAAACCATGAGATGGCTTGACCCCTTCGGGCGCGTCCAGGAAGGAATACTGACAGGCGATCGGACAGCGGTAGAAAGAGGAGTCCAGACCCGAGCTGCGCGGGCAAATGCACGTAACAGCACCAGAAACAGCGGAGGAACGGGAGGCCGCCGCGCCCCCCCTGAAGCGGATGGTGGTGCGCAAAGCACCACGCCCCCCTGGCGCGCGGATATCGGATAAATGCTGGGAGAAGATACCGACAACGGAAGTCGGCCCCCGCCCAGGCAGACCGCAGAGGCGACACATTAGACGCCCTCATCCGAGCCCTGGACGCAACGCAGCGAGACGATGAAGCCGCCGGAAGATCTAGGCAGCGCAGCATTGACCGCAGCTCCTTCAGCGGCGCAAACGCACAGCTCATAGCGGAAGGCCTCCTGAGGGAGGCAAGGTCGCACCTCGAGCCTGGAAGCTGGATATCCAGGGCCATGTGGCTATGCCTAGCACCGCGCTACATCCTCCTACTACGACCAGTGCTCCAAGTACGAGGCATGGACACTAGACCATGCGAGGCCCTCACCAGATGGCTGCAGCTCGCAGGCATCCACGCGCCGAGCGATATCAAAAACGCACTGGACGAAGGGGGGGGCCGGCCCCCAACGCGCACGCCCCGTTCGGAAATGACCAACTGCGTCTTCTTCTGCGCAGCACAGGCCTCAGGGCATGCCTAACCGAAGAGGAAGCGATCTCGACAACCCGCCCCCTCATAGAAAGCCTGGGCACCTCCATCTCCAACGCCGCAGACCCGCCTGGGGATGCAGAAAGAGTGCTCAGAGCAGGCGAGCTGGAGCCCATGCCCGGACGGGGCGCAGGTGGGGAGCCACAGGCATGCACCATCTGCACGGGGGACATCAACGGAGCAGGATTGCACAAGCAATGCATTGAGCGCTGGGTACAGAGTCAGCCGGAGATCATCAGGGAAGGAGGGGGCTCCATGCCAATCCGCTGCCTCCATTGCAGGGCCAACGACAGAGGCAGCATCCCAGCTCTTTTCCCTGGATCCCCGGCCCCCCCAGAACCTCCGGGGGCCCTTCAGCTCAAGGGCGGTCTCCTCACACCCAGAAGGCCC